CCGGCCCCCGGTCGCTGTGTCCGAGGTCCCCCTGGTGAGAGGCGGGCAGCTCTCCGATCTGGCCCCGGTGCCAGGGCACTGGCGCTCGGGGGCCGCCCGCGCTGCCTGTCCCGCCCGTTGTCCTGCCGGGAGGCCGCGGGGCTGCCTCCCCTCGCCCGGGGAGGGCTGATCCGAGCCGGCGGGCACCGTGCTGCAGGGGCGATTATTGGAACCTATGGGTCTGGGTTTTTCCTGTGCAGAGCAGAAGCCTTCTTTTAATTTGGTTTATTATCACCGTGTATGAGAGTGACCTATACGTCAGAAATGACTTCGCAGTGTAGACTTTTGTCATGTCCTAAGGGAAATGTTAGTAGTGTATATCGCTGTGACTGATACTCTTCCTGACTTGAACAGGGAACCAAAAATGTGAAGCCGTACAGACTGTATTAGATAGGAGAAAAAAATAGCGATTAAGTCAGGTACTTCTAAAAGCTGTAATCATCTTGTGGAAAAAGTTTACCTCTGGCTACAGCCCTAGGGTTCTTTAGGTGGAGTTGGCCAAACCCATGATCTCTTGGTGTGTTTAAGGTTCCTGTATGCCTGTTTGCTGTCCCGTGGTTGTTTGCTGTGTACCTGGTAAAGCTCTGTGTGAATCGATCAGATTCCTGAAAGAAGTGTGTTTAACTTTTCCTGTAGTAGGAGTAACTTGCTCGTGGTGTTTTGTTAGAATACCTCACAAATGAATGCAGTTGGGATAGTTGCAGTTTCACGCGTTGATAAATTGTTGTTGCTTCTGTTAATGTGTGCAAGGCTGTGAGCTGCGGCAGCTGAGGGCTCTGGTTCTCCGTTGCATACAGCCGCGGTGACGAAATCCAGCTGGAATTAAGGATCGGAATCTGGAATGTCTGCATTTCAGTTTTTCCTCACTTGTTTTAATGTCCTATGGTATCTTCTGTTTTGATAGCTGATAAATAGTTTTTTGTTGCTGTTTCTATATATAAGCAGAAGCAGTGACTGGAATGTCACTTGGGTAGATTGCCCAGTCAGCCAATGTACAACAGGCTATTTTGGCAGAATGTAGTAGTAAATTGTCAATGTTTTCACCCCCTAAAAACCCTGTACATCTCTGCGTATGTGATAGCAGTGCAGCGTTCACAGGAGCTACTGTAGAAATACTTGTACAGATAAATTATTTGCATGTGATTCTCGTAACACCCATAAAGTCCTACAAAAATGCTAGGGTTAATTTTCTGCCTTTTGCAAGATTTGAGGAGAAAAAAAACCAACCCAAAACAAAGAACCACCCCCCACCCACCCCAATTTAAATCAGGAATGAAGCTCTATTTAATCAGTTGCTTTACAGGAGGTTATTTGGTTTCTTATTGTGAAGATGCAAAATAAATTATGAAGGCAATATAATATTACTGTTCCCCCTCTGCCCCCAGATATTCTGATCGCTATGGCAGCCACAAGAAAGGTGATGAGAGCTGTCAGAGTTCTTGAATTTGGTGGCCCTGAAGTGCTTAAACTCCAGTCAGATGTCTTAATTCCTGATCCCAAAGAAAATCAGGTATGTATGAATTCTGTGAACTGAGATAATGATACTGAATGATAATAGATACGCTCAGAACAGAATGAAGAATACAAAACAAAGCTTTTAATCTTGAGTATATGGGCTATGTATTCCATATAAAGGATTTCCTGAAAATAGCTTCAGTTCAATACCGAATTTTTGCTGACTGTTTAAGAATTTAGTTAAAATGCCATGGTACTGTGCTGTCAGTTCAAGCTCTAAATCTGTTTAATTACTGCTTAAGAAACATCTTTTCTTTTAGGTGTTAATTAAAGTCCATGCCTGTGGGGTAAATCCTGTTGAGACATATATTCGTTCTGGAAATTATGCTAGAAAACCAGCTTTACCCTATACTCCTGGCTCAGATGTGGCTGGTGTAGTAGAAGGTGTTGGGGAACACGTGACTGCGTTCAAGGTATTTATACATTGGGGTTTAATTCATTATTGTTTATTGTATCCCCTTTGTGTGATTGCTATACTATTGTTCCCGTTTTTATTGCTTATAATCATGTAATCTGTTTGGGGCAGGGGGAAAATCAACTTCATTGACGGGGAAAAGCCTGCGGCGAGATCATATTGGCAGTCCAGTCTGCAGACTGAACTGTAGGGAAGTCTTCAGCGCTGTTCATCTCCAAGAGTTAAAAGGTCTCAGAAGAGGCACTTGAGTTTGTCCGCTTAAAGCGATGATGTCAGGTGTACAAAAGTTGTGGTTCAGAACTATTTTTATGGCAATCCAGAAATAATTGAAGTTGGATGCCTCCTGTTCGACGTAGGAATTTCACAGAGTTACGTTTTATGTTACTGACTTACAGAACCCTGTAAATTACATATATGTTATTAAAACTGTTCAAATATTTTATTATTCCAGTCTAGTTGTTTTACTTAGACTTTCTCAGGGGGAAAGTCCTGGGACAGGATATGGCAATTAGGAGTTTGTTAAAAGGTATCTACGAAATTTATTTAGTTTTTTCCTCTTTTCTTTCTTTCAAGTCACTAGACTGTTAGTCTTGGACAAACATAAAAAAATGTAGTTAAAATTGTGTTGGAATTTCCTGACTTGTAATATATGTAACTATTGTGGGAGAGATGAGAGATTTGGTTATCTAGAGAGAAGAATCATGTTTATTCATATTTTCTTAACAGTAATTTGCTATATCTGCTGTGTGTGCTTTTTGTTTCTTGTGGAAATCGCGATGCTCTTTGCTTGAATGCAGGAGAGAGACAATGAGATCGATCTGTGCCACAGACAGACATCCAGAAAATGCTGAGTAGCCAAGGTCGTTCATTTGCGTACTTGTAATGCTTGAGAAACAGCTATGCTGATCTGCAGCGCTCTGCACAGTAGTTAATACCCCATGTCTTCAAATCAAACGGACGTAGTCCACACGCTGTGTATTTATTGAGACCAACATGCAAATAGTAGAAAAACTAGAGCTCGGTGACTGTGACTGTTAATGGATACTGACGCCGGGCTTGTCGAGGGCTGGGTGCTGACCTGGAGCGCGGCAGCTGGCGCGGTGCCCCGTGCAGGACTGGAGCGCCTGGGCACACACACAGCACGCTGCCCGGGGGGGCATTGCCTCCGCGCCTGCTCAACCCCTGCTTTGAGGGTTCCCTGTTGAACAACAGCAGCAACATTCAGTTACTGTAGGGTTTATTAAGAGTATATCTTTTTTCCACATTTGAACAAAAACGCTTGAGAAATGTTTCTTTTGGGTGTGTAAAAGCTTGTGAGGTTTTGCGTTTGGAATCTGTGGATGGAATTGTTCAGTGTTCAGGTTCATTAGGGTTAATATTAATGAGACAGAAGGTTTTTGTGTTACACTATAGAGCAGAGGTTATAATTATGACACTTAGATGTAAGTCTATGAAATTATAGGGTTTGTGTTGCGTTGACTGTATGTATTAACACTTATGAAAGTCTTCTCCGTGACAAATATAACTGGTTATTTTTAATAGGAGAGCTGTTAGAAATAGCCTAAATTTCTGTGAATAGATTCTTAATATATATTAAGGAAAGAATAAGGGAGATGATTAATTTCTGTATTTTCTTTCCCTCCTTTCTAGAAAGGTGACAGAGTTTTTACCACTGGTACAATCTCTGGAGGATACGCAGATTATACAGTTGCTGCTGCTAATAGTGTCTTCCCTTTGTCGGATAAATTGGACTTTAGGCAAGGAGCAGCGATTGGAATACCTTACTTCACTGCGTATCGCGCTCTTTTCCAAAAGTAAGGTGCCAAATATAAGTTTGTGTGTTTTGCTTTTGAATATTTAAATTACCGAATCCCGTATTTTCATTGTCCTGTAAAATGGGGGGTGATCAATGAGTGGGAGATGTTTAAAAACGCTTGAGTTAAATTTGTTTTACTGACGGAATTTACAGATAATTGTTATCTAGAGGCTAGCAACTGTGTTTTCTTGTTAAGTATTTGTTAAGAGAACAGACCTGAAAAGGCTTCCTCAATAAGTGTCACATAATAAAACGTCTAACTTTTTTTTTTTTTTTTGGTACTCATTGGTATTTTAGCTAGGGAAGAAAACCAGGAATTGTTCTAATTTCTTAATTAAACTGAGAATGTGCTGTAGAGCAGAGCCTCCTCTTTTCTTCATGAGCTTCTCTGCTCGAGAGACTCTGTGTACGT